CACACACACACACACACACACACACACACACACACAAGCACACACACACACACAAGCACACACACAAGCACAGACACAAAGCACAGACACAAGCACAGACACATCCGCAAACGGGGATTTAACGCCCCCCAGCAACAACTCATTCAACATTTGAGCACAGGGTGAGGGTACTCGATCCGTTCCACTCCTCTCTTTCATCAACCTGCCTCACACCAATCACAGTCAGTTTCAGATCAACCTTCATTTCTCATTTCCTTCATACTAGTGCATAAAAATCAATGAATCAATGATTACAAATAAGAAGAAAAAAAAAAGAAAAAAGATTGAAGTACCTAGGCTGTGTTGCTGGGTGCCCGGTCAGTGTTCCGCGCAGGCCAAGCAGCACTTTTTCGACATGCATCTGACCGTAATTATGGCCCGACCTTCACGTATTTAGCTGCAATCACGTTCAGATCCGAGTCGAAAAAGTCCCAGTGTGAAAGCACGCACGTAAGGGTAGACAAAAGGAAGCGAAGAGTGACACCATCTGCTAGCATTTATCTTTTTCTGTTTTGCATTTCTTTTTCATTTTGAAAGGGTTTAAATGTGTTCAGTTAAACATACGAATACATCGAAGAGTTCCCCCAGAGTCCGTTCACTGCTTTCCTATCTACTCCGAGGCACGAAGTTTCTTAAAAAACTCAATCGAAACTTCGTTGAGTTTTCTAAGAAACTTCGTTGATTTTCGATGGAGCGTTCCGAGGGTGTGCTTGAGTGCATCGAAAATCAACGAAGTTTCTCAGAAAGTAAATCAATCTCAACAGTAATCATGATATGACAAAAAGGGTGTGTATGTGCTTGAGATTGAGTGCATGTTCCATGGTGAATTAACAAAATCGCTACCGCGGTGCTGCACCGAACTCACTATCTTGCCCCACCCAGCAACCAGCAAGTTTCATAAATATTATAAAATAAATAATAGAATATATAATAGAAATATGATAGAAATATAATAGTAACATATAATATAAATATATAATATAAAAATAAAATATAAATACATAATATAAATACATAATATAAATATATAATATAAAAATAAAATATAAATATATAATATAAAAATAAAATATAAATATATAGTATAAATATATAAAATAATAAATAAATATATATCGTCAAACAGAGCTGCCCGGTAAACCGTAGGCAGCGAGGGAGGGAGGGTCCCGGAGGGAGAAGAGGAGAAGAAACGAGGGAGGGGCTGTGACAAACTGTTTCGTCGGACTGTTTCACCTACCTACTCATCCGGGGGCTGAACACTATGTATATACATATATGAAAATATATATCATCAAACAGAGCTGCACAGTAAACGTTAGGCAGAGAGAGAGAAGTGGATAAGAAACGAGGGGCTCCCCGTTTTTTTTTTTTTTTTAATAATAAAGGGGAGAATGATTTGTTACGGGCCCAGTGCCCAAGGCAGTACACAAAACTTTAAGACAGAAATAGAGAAAACAAATTCAGGGGCCTCCAGACCTCGAATGGCAGACTCAAAACTTTGGCATCAAATTATTAAGAATAAGTTGAATAACCAATATCGCAAATAACTGAATTCATAAATGAGGTAAAAATAATCGGCGGCCAAACGAATGCCCAAAAGAATTCAGAAGAGGAAAAAAAAGTACTGACTGCAAATTTCATTCATTTGATTCATGATTTATTCCCTTTTTCCTCTTTTCTTTTTTTTGTTTGGACCGCTTCTTCATTTATATGCATGTCATCCTCGAAAATGGCCAGGTTCATGCTAATAAATCTTCTCCTCTCTCCATCCTCCCAATTCTAACGGCTCGAGTCCCCCCAAGGACAAACATTGCTCTTAAAATTTAAACCTTCTTTTAATCATACCCCAATACCTTATCAATCTCGTAATTCTT